TTAACTGCCATGCCATCATGCTACAGAATCCTGAGATTTGTAGTTTGACAGGGTCCTTTAATTTCTTTGCTAGAAAATTATAGGTTAAAGCGCTAGCTGCAGAAAACTTGCTAACTAAAAGGTTGGCAATTCAAAGCCACGAGTTGGGGTGAGTTCCTGCTGTTAGCCCTAGCTTCTGCCAACCTAGCAGTTCGAAAACAAATATGAGTAGATCAATAGGTACCTCTTTGACAGGAAGGTAAAAGGCTCCCATGCAGACATGCTGGCATCCACAGACAATAGGCAGCTTGGCATGGAAAATGGAACAAGAATACCTTCCTATGGCCGGAGTTGAGCACAGCCTCCAGACACCGGAGATGAAAAGGGGGAAGCCTTTACCTCTGTCTGTGTACTGTATGTCTTTGTTGTTAACTGTATAATGGTATTAAATGTTTACCATATATGTGTATTCTGTAATCTGCTCTTGAGTCCCCTCTGGGAGATAGAGCGAGATATAAATAATAATAATAATCATCATCATCATCTATATAAATAAAAACTCAAAAACCACTGGACGAATTGACACCAAATTTGGACACAAGACACCTAACAACCCAATGTATATCCTTCACTCAAAAAAAATGATTTTATCATTTGGGAGATGTAGTTGCTGGGATTTATAGTTCACCTACAATCAAAGAGCATTCTGAACCCCACCGACGATGGAATTGAACCAAACTTGGCACACAGTTCTCCCATGAGCAACAGAAAATACTGGAAGGATTTGGTGTGCAGTGTCCTGTGGTTTTGGAGTTGAAGTTCACCTACATCCAGAGATCACTGTGGACACAAACAATGATGGATCTGGACCAAACTCAACACGAATACTCAATATGCCCAAATGTGAACACTGGTGGAGTTTGGGGAAAATAGAATCTTGACATTTGGGAGTTGTAGTTGCTGGGATTTATAGTTCACCTACAATCACAAAGCATTCTGAACCCCACCAACCATAGAATTGGGCCAAACCTCCCACACACAACCCCCATGTGGGCCACAGCAACGCGTGGCAGGGGATGGCTAGTAATAATAAAACATAAATACATCATTTAATAATAATAATAATAATAAACTTTATCATCTCCCCAAGGGGACTCGGGGCGGCTTACAAGAGGCCAAGCCCAACAGTACAACAAAGCAAAAATGTAACATAAATACAAACAGTAAAATATAATGAAAATAGACAATAACATACAAAACAATATAAATGAACACACCGAACAGTATAAAATCACAATAATCACAGTGTATTATTATTTTAGTCTACTCCCCTGGTTTCCTGCACTAGGGGCTCCATCAAAGGACTTTTCCCAGGATTTCACGTTCTGGAGGCATAAGTTTAAGGTGGTATCAAATTTCTATAACTGTATAGTATGGATCTTCTCCATGACTATCTATGCTGAAATCTGTGCCTTTGCAAAGTGTGATTTCTCTTACTTTTCTTAAGAAAAAAGTACTTTAGTTAACTTTAGCAGAAAGTTGATTTCTCCTTTCTCTCCTTCCCACCTAAAGCTAAGGAAACTGTCCTGATCCTAAAACAGTGTCTGTTATCAGTAATGGACTAGATGAAGGCAAACAAAGAAAAAAGTGGGGTATAATAATGATGATGATGATAATAGTAATATGGAACTGCAAAGACTCTGGCACAAGCCAGTAAAGGTGGTCCCAGTGGTGATTGGCACACTAGGTGCAGTGCCTAAAGACCTTGGCCTGCACTTCAACACAATTGGCTCTGATAAAATTACCACCTGCAAAAGGCCACCCTACTAAGATCTACAGGCATTATTTGCCGATACATCACACAGTCCTAGACACTTGGGAAATGTCCGACGTGTGATCCAATACAACAGCTAGCAGAGTGATTTTGTCTACTGTGGACTCATCTTGTTGTGTTTCCAATAATAATTGTGTATTGTCTACATAAGAATTCACTGACTAAGATCCAGCGGTGACTCAGAATACAGGGAGATATGATCTGCAAAGTTTTATAGTTCATAACCAGCACTTTTAATTGTATCCAGAAATTAACTGGCAGCCAATGGAGCTGTTGCAATAGAGGCGTAGTATGACCTGCCCTGGTTAACTGTTTGGATCAGTTGAAGTTTCCGAACATTCCTGTAAGGCAGTCCCAAATAAAGTTATAGCCCAAAGAGGATGCCACTAACTAAGGCATGTACTGCTATGGCCAGATACAGCATCTCAAGGAACAGATATAAAACCAGCCCAGTTCACTGCAGAAATCTGGGTCTCCAGGTTCAAAGTTGACACCAGAAGTACATCCAAATTACAAACCCCATTTAAATCCATATTCCCTGATCTGCCTTCCCACAGAGCAAGGCACCTTGTATTGTCTAAATTAAGTTTCAATTTGTTTTTCCTTATCCTAATGGAATAAGAGTTAGCATAGCAGGTTAACCACCAGCTGCAGTAAATCTTGCCAACCAAAAGATACCCAGTTCGAAACCTGGGTCAAAGTGAGCTCCTGGCCTTTAGCCCAGCTTCTGCCTACCTATTTATTTATTTACTACATTTATATACCGCCCCACTCAGCCCAAGGGCGATTCAGAGCGGTTAACAATAGGCAACGATTTGATGCAGTTACAACAAAATTAAAATTTAAACAATCCTAAATACTTTAAAATACTAACAGAAATATAAAATCTAAAAATCGTACACAACATTTAAAAACATTGTCAAAGGGTCTCCATCTCAAATCATTGTCCGGTTGTGTCGTCAGTTGTCCATAATATCATATATCTATGCCATATCTGGGAAGGCCTGTTCGAAAAGCCAAGTTTTCACCATTCTTCGAAAAGACAGGAGGGAGGGGGGTGATTTTATCTCTCTAGGTAGGGCGTTCCACAGTCGAGGGGCCACCACTGAGAAGGCCCTGTCTCTTGTCCCCGCCAAAGGCAACTAGCTGCTTTGAAAACAGCAATGTGAGTAGATAAATAGGTACCGCTTAAGCAAGTATTTAAGGCGTCCATAAGGAAATGCCAGAAAAAAATGCCAGTGATTTGATCAAGGAGGAAGTTTACAAATAAATCTCTTTGGCAGGGAAAAGTGGGAACAGCCCCCCCCCCCCCCGGGCTGAAACCGAGCATGCTGAACATAGGAAAGCTTATATGTATCTGTATGTATAGTTGTCTGTCTTGTCAGTGTATAACAGCATTTAATGTTTGCCGTATATATGTTCTGTGGTCTGCTCCAAGTCCCTTTTGGGATAAGAAGGGTGGAATATAAATACTATAAATAAAAATAAATAATATTCATTTCTCAGTGACTCATTGAGTGCCCTGACCTTTATTATTTTGACCTTTGAAACTGGCTATATTTAGTTATTTTTTGGGGATGGGTAAAATGGACTATCATTTCTTTCCAGTCATGTGGGTAAAAGTATACGTGGAGAAATTGCAGAACAAGGACAGCACAGTCATAACTCAAAGTTCAAATTCAAGAATATGAGGAATGATGTCATGGCTCTCCCACCAACTTATTTGAAAGTTAGTTATCCCTGTAGAGGACAATTTCTCTCTCCACCTAAAATAAATAACATTGAAGATAATTATCTACAGTCTAACACTTCTAGATAACATTGAGTTGCTAAAACAGTCCAAGTCATTAAAAAAATCCTAGGAATGTAAATTATTGTTGATTTTTTGTTTAATTTGTAATTTTTTAAAAAGGTTATACTTGTATTTACGGAACATATTAAGAAAAGCGGAAGCAGTTCTGCTATGTGTGTTTGGTATTTACATTCTGAATTTCAGTTTGTTGGTGGAAAATTAAGCAATCTCGGCAGTGAATTAATTATTAATAGAATGTTTCCAATTATTATTTTATTGTGTCTCTACAATGAATTGGAAACATTTAAAAGTTGATCCACCTTGGATGGTGAGTGGATGGCTACTGCAAATGTGATTTTTTTTCAGCGTCTTTTATAATGTAGCAGAACAGCTCTGAAACATTATACAGTGGTCCCACACTACTTTGCGGTTCACTTTTCGCGGACTCACTCTTTTGCGGTTTTTCAATATGGACTTAAAAGCGTTTGTCTGTATGGAGAGTCTTGTCTCTGCAGATAAAGCCGGAGCCGAGGATTATGTGAGCAACGTGTTCAAGGAGGGTTATGTAGTGTATAAGTATGTAGGGAGGGTTTAAAAAGACTTAAAATAGTGTATAACTAATAAAATAATGTATAAATATTAAAATAAATATAGCATCCCAACTTTGCGGATTTTCACTTTTTGCGGGTGGTCCTGGAACATAACACCAACGATAAGTGAGGGAACACTGTATACCAATTAAGTGGTATTTTTGCCCAGAACGAGAGATGTGATGTGAGTGAAGTGAATGAATCAATTGAAGTATTTAAAGTATCCTTTTTGATACCTGGTTAAAATTTTCACAACTGCTCAGAATTGCTCATATGTTACTGGTGAAAGAAGAAGAGTTGACTTGATGCCTTGTAATGAAATGGACCTTGGCTTGTTTGTAATTTGCATTCTATGTCACAATATCATATAAGTTTTCACAATTCGAGACAGTAATTCTATATTAGCTTAGTTATTGAAGTAAATACAAGATTCAAGGAGTTGTAGTTAACAATTTTGCAAAGGTTACCTAGTTACATTCATTGATTGGGATTTAATTATTGAATAGAGATGTACAATATTATGCAGCAAATTAAGGAAAGCCAAGACTACCCATATTGACATTCCCTTCTCTCTCACCCCTCCCAGCTCCTTTTTGGGAAAACATTGTCCTTTTTTGCGCAAGAGCTTTGACGGTAGATGGTACTCTGTTTAAGCTGCCTTATCTGCCATTTCTTTTAGTGGGACATCATATGGTGCACATTCTTAACAGTATGTTTGTTGTCCTTACGGTAAATTATTAATCTATTCTTTCCAATGGAGCAATCTCATACATCTGTGCTGATGATGAATTTGGCTTTCTCACAGAGCAAAGATGTGGCTCTTCATCACACTGATAGCCTTGGTCCAAGGCCTTGTAACTTCAGAAGTATTAAGAAGAAATGCGGATCCAGAAACGGCTATGAATATTGTAAGTCACCGATCCTTCTCTTTTGTTATATCCACTTCAGTTTAAGGCATTTATTTAAGCCTTAGAACTACTCTAAAGTGTGATGGCAAATCTTCCAGATACTTGGAACATTGGGTATCTCACTCCCAGCAAACCCACTAACTAGTGGATTTGCGGGGAGGATGCATTGTGTGATTTATTTTCATAATACACATATGTGTATGCACACTTAGACCTTGCTGTTCTAGGACTTTTGCATCACCAAGCTCACAAACAAAACCCTCCCCATCACCCATCCCCATTTGTTGATTTTTATCTCACCTTTCATGGAGCCCTCGGTGGCGCAGTGGGTTAAACCCCTGTGCTGGCCAGACTGAAGACTGACAGGTCGCAGGTTCGAATCCGGGGAGAGGCAGATGAGCTCCCTCTATCAACTCCAGCTCCTCATGTGGGGACACGAGAGAAGCCTCACACAAGGAGGATAAAACATAAAAAAAAAATCATCCAGGCATCCCCTGGGCAATGTCCTTGCAGACGGCCAATTCTCTCACACCAGAAGCGACTTGCAATTTCTCAAGTCGCTCCTGACACAACCTTTCTTCCAGTCTGAAAGCTCCTGATAGGTTTAAAAACAAGTTTTATTCCTAAGTGAAATTCTGTAAATATCTGTAAAGGACCTTTAGTTCTTGTTTTTTTGGTTTCAGAGATGGTGTGTATGTAGTTGTCCTGTTTTGCATAATTTATCCCACAATTAGATGGAATGAAATGCACAGACCTGAGTTGCATTTGCTCAACTAAATTTATGTAATGCACAGACTTGAGCTACATTTCTTGATTTCACAGATCGTAGGAGTTGGAAGAGACCACAAGGGTCATCCAGTCCAACCTCCTGCCATGCAGAAATTTGCCATACACGTTATTTGACTCCAGTTCCCAGCATCTCTCACTATTGGCAAAAGCTGATGGAACGCCATGTGATCCCAGAAGGAACTAGACCATATTACCCCTTGAGGCAGGGGTCCTCAAACTAAGGCCCGGGGGCCGGATGCGGCCCTCCAAGGTCATTTACCCAGCCCTCGCTCAGGGTCAACCTAAGTCTGAAATGACTTGAAAGCACACAACAACAACAACAATCCTATCTCATCAGCCAAAAGCAGGCCCACACTTCCCATTGAAATACTAATAAGTTTATATTTGTTAAAATTGTTCTTCATTTTAATTATTGTATTGTCTTTAAGTGTTTTTTGCACTACAAATAAGATATGTGCAGTGTGCATAGGAATTCATTCATGTTTTTTCAAATTATAATCCTGCCCTCTGAGGGACAGTGACTTGGCCCTCTGTTTAAAAAGTTTGAGGACCCCTGCTTTAGATGTTTGGTGCTTCGATTTATAAAATCCCCAATTAGTATCATCCATATCTGGGATTTTGAGAAATGAATTCCAAAACGTTTGAAGGATCAGAAGTAGAGAACCATTCGTCAAAACACATCGGAAGATAACTTTGGAAAACTTTTTCAAGCTTACTGCCCTGTTTTGGTTTAAAGTAAGTACTCTGCTTTAACGGTAGCTGATTTTTCCATACCGTAGTATCTTGGACATGTTTCAAGGTGTAGGAGTATCTTTGTCTTCCATGTTGTATTTTAGAGGTGGTGAAACATTGTCTAGACATTTTAAAGTGCATTCTCAGTCTTCTCCAAAAAAATAAGTGTTGTCCTTACTGCTTTTCTGTCTTCCAGAGTGAAATTATTACCTTTAGAGGATATCCTAATGAGGAATACGAAGTGGTGACAGACGATGGCTATATTCTCGTTATCAACAGAATCCCTCATGGGAAAAGGAGTCCGCCAACCAAAGGTGAGTGTGTGGTGGGAAAAGGAGAAAAGTGTTTGTTTGTTGGCAGGGAGAATCTTGAAGTTTCAGTACAAAGTAAGTATTGTCCAAGCTTCGTTCAAACATTTATACAATGTTTGATTTTTTTTTTTCAGAAATGAAATGCATGAAGGTTGTAGTTTCTGTCTCCCATTGTAATATGAAACAGCTGTATAACAGCTTTTGTTCAGTAATCTCACCTAGAATCATAGAAGTATAGAG